ACTCATCATTTGTAGACTGCGTGTATACGGTGGTGAACTTCATGTGTGCTGTTGAGCACTTTCAAAGTTTACCGGACTTCAGTTAAGTCATTGAGCAGTTCTGCAGTTGCTCAGCTGCCCACTTCCTGGTTGTATGGACTTCAGTTGCACCATTGAGCAGTTCCGCAATTGTGCAGCTGCACAGTTGCCTGATGTATGCTCTCTGTTGCCAGAGTGTAGTTGTGCAGTTTTACAGTTCATCCACTCATCATTTGTAGACTCCATGCATGTGGTGGTGAACTTCATGTGTCCAGTTGAGCAGTTCCGCAGTTTACCGGACGTCAGTTGAGCCATTGAGCAGTTCTGCAGTTGCTCAGCTGCCCAGTTCCGGGTTGTATGGACTTCAGTTGCACCAGAGTGCAGTTGTGAAGTTGTGAAGTTAATACCCCAAGTAATGGCAGACTGAAGATATACAGTAGTGAACTTCATGTGTGCAGTTGCGCAGTTCTGCAGTTTACCAGAATTAAGTTGAGCCCTTGAGCAGTTACGCAGTTGCACAGCTACCCAGTTCTCGGTTGTATGACCTTCACTTGCGCCATTGAGCAGTTCTGCAGGTGTGCAACTGCCCAGTTCCCAGATGTATGCTCTCTCCTGCCAGAGTAAAGTTGTGCAGTTGTACTGTTAATACCCCAAGTAATGGCAGACTGAAGATATGCAGTGGTGAACTCCATTGAGCAGTTCTGCAGTTGCGCAGTTCTGCAGTTCACCAGACTTCAGTTGAGCCATTGAGCAGTTCTGCAGCTGCGCAGCTACCCAGTTCCAGGTTGTATGAACTTCAGTTGCGCCATTGAGCGGTTCCAGAGTTGTGCAACTGGACAGTTCCCCAATGTATGGTCACTGTCACCACCATATAGTTCTGAAGTTGTACGGTTCCTCCACTCCTCATTTTTGGACTGCGTGTATGCGGTGGTGAACTTCATGTGTGCTGTTGAGCACTTCTGCAGTTTACCGGACTTCAGTGAAGTCATTGAGCAGTTCTGCAGTTGCTCAGCTCCCCAGTTCACAGCTGTATGACCTTCACTTGCGCCATGGAGCATTTCTGCAGGTGTGCACATGCACAGTTCCCTGATGTATGGTCTCTCCTGCCAGAGTAAAGTCGTGCAGTTCTACAGTTCACCCGCTCCTCATTGGTAGACTGAATGTATGTGGTGATGAACTTCATGTGGGCAATTGAGCAGTTCTACGATTGAGCCATTGAGCAGTTTCACAGTTGCGCAGCTGCACAGTTCCCTGATGTATACATGTTGGAGACTAGAGTAACTAGCCCCGCAAGAAACATGAGGAAGAGTCGAAGCAAGGGGGAGCAGTTAAATCTTCGCTTGATGGACGGTCTTAGAGTAGGATTGTGCGGGTGGATGGCTGGTTAGAGAGTTGGTGGTGAGGAGTGGATGGCTGGTTAGAGAGCTGGTGGTGAGGAGTGGCACAGACAGACAGCAAGAATGAAGCAGACTAACCTTTTTTGGTCATTTTGGTACTTGTGAAAGCTGGAAGCTCGGGCAATGAAATATGGGTGGAATAAAGCCGGAAAGAGAGTGGTTGAGTGTATGTGCTCGTGGTTTTACTGTCAAGTTGGGGGAAAAAATCGGCAAGCCGGATATCAACTTTGCAGGGGCAACAAACATTGACCAACGGTGAAATGGCGCTGAATGGCGGCGACGAGCTCCAAAAAGCCCCGAGATCCTTGGCTAGTTGGCCCCATTGAGATTGAACAAGAGAGACCGATGTTTCAAAGGGCTAAAAGGCAAGTCAGCGTCGCTTCGTTAACATTTGTTCAGGATGCAGAAATGTCGTGATTAAGTAGTTCCGGATCATGCCGTCGAGGATGACCCGGTCATCACGAATGAAGGTGAAAGCAAAGCTTGAGGCCCGGCTTGGGCAATGAAGGGAGCAAAGACTTTAAGGATGAAGGTTGAGCGTTGGGAGAGAGAGACTTAAGTCACGCCTGTGACCACACGCGTCGAAGTCATTTGGGATGTTGTTAGCCCAACTTTTGAGGGATGCTTACAGGAAATTTGAAAAAATCAAGCATGTTTGGAGGCATTGAGAAATTTATCTGAACCTCTCTCTATGAAGGGCGAGGAGTTGACACGGCCAACCAGATATTGATGAGGATTAGTCACCGATCAGCGAGGATATTGATGTTGCATCGGCGAGCCACGCGAACCAAACGCGAACGTGCATAATGCTCAACCATTGTCCAAACCATTGAATGGAAAGATAATAGTGAATTGATAGTCTGGCTCTCTTGGGAGGTGGGACATGGTAACGATGTGTCTGCCCATGTATGTACTGTATGCCCGACGGATCAGACATCGCTCCCGGTTGGCGATCACCGTCCACAGGTCTGATCGGACGTACCTGTTGTTTTTGGCCCATTTTTACGCATTGTGATTGGACTTTGAGGGCATTTTTTGCCCGTTTCCGTCCGCCTGCTGATCGGATGTATCACAGCATAAGACTAGGTCCTATATCCCCCCTACTGTTCGCACCGCCACTGACATTGGTGGCACCGCTGCTGTTCTGCTGTTACCACCATTGCTGCTGACCGTGGCAGCGCTGACCGGGCCTGGTGCCACACGGGGCAGGAGGCGCAGGGCTGGGGACTGGATGGGTGATGTGTTACTAGTTGATTTGATGCTAGAAAATGGTAGGAGAAGCGAGGGAGACGAGGGGGGTGGGAAGAGGAAGAGGGGTTTGAGGGATGGTGGAAGATGAGGAGTAAAAGGAGGTGGGAAAGAGGAAGCCGTCTGGAGTTGCAGAACTACTCAACTGCGTACCTGAAGTGCATCACCAGAGAAAATCAGTCAACAATTAAGATTAACCGCACAACTGCACAATTGCACAACTGCACCCTAGCAAAACAGACCATAAATCACAGAATTAACTGGGTGTTCCGCTTGCGAAGTCCAGTGGGACTGCTGAGGGACCCAACTGAAGTCCAGCAGACCTGTTCAACAGTGTGCCTGAAGTCCAGTATCTTATACAATCAGTCTGTGATTAACAACACCACATACATGTAGTCTACAAATGATGAGTGGATGAACCGTACAACTGCACAACTGTATGGTGGTGACAGTGACCATACATGAGGGAACTGTGCAGCTGCACAATTGCGGAACTGCTCAATGGTGCAACTGAAGTCCATACAACCAGGAAGTGGGCAGCTGAGCAACTGCAGAACTGCTCAATGACTTAACTGAAGTCCGGTAAACTTTGAAAGTGCTCAACAGCACACATGAAGTTCACCACCGTATACACGCAGTCTACAAATGATGAGTGGATGAACTGTAAAACTGTACAACTACACTCTGGAAACAGAGAGCATACAACAACGAGAACACATTTGAACTATCTTTTGGCTGAAGCAGTACCCTTTGTTGAACACATATTTTGAATGTTTTTCTTTCTTTAACTGCAGATATACTGGAAACCTACAAAGGAAACAGGTGAAACACACTCCGAATTCCAGCCAGTGCATTTGCAAAACCCAGGATGAATATGTCTACACTATGTTCTCAAGATTCATACCAACCATAGGGGAGACACAAATTTAATATCTCTTGGATTTTGGCCCCAAATTTACTCGGTACATAGCTTGAACATATGCTGGAAAACAACCAAAACATATTGAAGACATATACTCAATATCTCTCAACTTTCTGGGCCCACTCTCCACAGAACCTATGTGAAATTCAATTTGAATGTGTCCCACACTTGCCTTCCAGATTTACCTCAAACTTAGCCTCAACATAGGATGAAGCCTAGGAAAGACAGATACAAAATGTTTTTCACATATAGCCGGAAATTTTAGGTGAGAGCTGTTTTCAATATGTGTTACCTTTAGTTTCAAAACTTCACCTAACCCCATTCTAGACATGCGGTGAAATATACTGGAAACACAGTAGAAGTATCATTTAGCTGAAGCGGCAACTTTCATTGAATTTATATATTTAATATCTTCCGTCCTTTGCTTGGAGATTTAGGCGGAACCTACAGGGGACACAGGTGAAACACAGTCCAAATCTTAGCCAGTACATATGCAAAGCGCAGGATGAATATGTCTACAATGTGTTCCTAGGATTTATGGGAACCATGGGGGAGACACAAATTAAATATCTTCTGGATTTGGCCCGCTAATTTACCTGGTACATAGCTTGAATATATACTAAAAAACAAGGGAATTATATTCAAAACACATAAGTTGTGTGTTTCAGATGTTGCTGCCAGTTTCACTGGAAACATATTTTAAAAAGATCTAAAATATGTTGCAGAGGAACAGGTGAAACTTATTATACTTGGGATTCACATATATTTTGACTGTTGTGGCACGCTTTAGGATGATATGCCCCTTGTGGAAGTTCCGCAGTACAAGAGCGAGACCCAGTAGCGGATGGTTTGCACCCGCGCCATGTACTGATGTACTCATCGCATCAGCGGGAGTCCCTGGTTCGACTCCAGGCTGGGTCATTCGGATTCGAGCTTTTTTGGCTGTCATGCATGTTGCGATTGGTTCCCACGAGCTGACTCTCACTCGCCCGGCTAACGAGGCTCAACGCAGGGGAAAGAAGACCCAGTGGCTGATGGTACTGCCCCCGCGCCGTGTACGTAGACCTCCCATTTCTATCGCAACGGGAGCCCTGGTTCGATCCCAGGCTGAGTCATACATTTGTAACCATCAATCCTTTTTTCAGTAGTTCATCGCTGATCATTGCGCAGCCCACTCGGAGAGACTCAAAGCAGGGGAGAGAAGACTCAGTGGCGGGCGGCGGCCCGCGGTATGTACAAAAGTACGAAGTTGTCGAAGCGAGTGGCCCTGGTTCGACTCCAGCTGTAGGCTGGGTCATGAATACTTCTTGGTGGTTATTCCTTTTGAAAGTCGTGGCGCACTTCATCGCTGATTATCCCGTATTCCACGGCTCGAGGTGTAGCCCACTCGGAGACGTTCTGGAGTAGGGGAATGGGACCCAGTAGCGAATGGTTCGCGCCTGCACCGTCTTCGACGGCACCCGTGTGTAGCAGCGGGAACTCCTGGTTCGAATCCAGGCTGGGTCATACACTAGTAATCCTCAATCCTTTTTCAGTAGTTCATCGCTGATTATCTCCTAGCCCACTCGAAGAGGTTCCGGAGTACGGGAACGAGACCCAGTAGCGGATGGTTCGCCCCCGCACCGTATGTCAGGAGTCTGCTATTGAATAAGCCAGCGGGAGGCCCTGGTTCGACTCCAGGCTGGGTCATGCATCATGATCCATCAACTTTTTTTCTCGCTCCCGTTTTTGTCCACCGCTGACTCGACGAGGTTCAACGCAGGGGAATGAGACCCAGTAGGGGACGGTCCGCGCCAACACTCTGTGATATAGGTATGGAATAGTTGCGGGAGATCCTGGTTCAACTCCAGGCTGGGTCATTCACTGGTAATCATCAATCCTTTTCTCAGTAGTTCATCGCTGATTATCTCGCAGCCCACTCGATGAGATTCCGGACTAGAGGGAAGAGACCCAGTAGCGGAGTGTCCGCGCCCGAATTATGTAGCTCTGCAATGAGGTCGAAGCGGGAACCCTGGTTCGACTGCAGGCTGGGTCATGAGGGGAGATGTCCAAACATTTGTTCGTCCCGTCTCTCATTTGTCCAAATTTAACGAGGTCCCACAAGCCAACAACGAGACTCAGTAGCGGACGGTACCGCACCCGCGCCGTATAGGGAAGTGATTCGGTCAATCAGCGGGAAGTCTTGGTTCGATTCCAGGCTGGGTCATGGGTCGTTTCTGCAAAACTTTTGCGAGCGCGCTGTTGATCCAAGAGTGCGGAATGTCCACCTCAGTTCCCTTCATGAAAATAGCCCAAGGAACCATCGGATCACATGCTGGCCTTCATGAGCGGGGAGCATCTGGTGATAGGTACGACCACCTGCTAAGGTGACTGCTGAAACACCCGTAGGAATTTCATGAAATCACTATCATAGACTCCGATAGCAGTAAGCGAGAAGATGTTAATGCTGGCAATTTTGCGGTCGTCGACGAAATAATCCCACCCGTGAGGATACAGCGGGAGTGGGGGTTGGTAATGGCGGTACTTAGTTCCGCAAACGAAGCATTGCTCGTGGATCCTTTCACCTGTCAGTGCCTAACGACGTTCAACATTAACGGGAAAAGGCTGGTGGGCATAGAGAATTGGGAATGCACTTGGATCCCACATATTTTACATCGTCGATTCCACAGAAGACTAAGAGGCCTTGATGTCTGGGACTCAGTTTGCGCTGCAGCCATCAGCGCCATCCAGTGGCTGATTTGCAGTACGCTGGCGCGGGGCTCCACCAGCCAAAAATAGCCCCCAGTGGCTCCAACAGCCATCCGGGTGGAGCCGTACGTCAGCGCACTGCAAAAGCGCCACTGGGTGGCGCTGATGGCTCCTGCGCAAACTCTCTATTGCTGTTTTCTCTCGCTTTCGTCCATCGCTGATTCTCCCTGAGCCCACTCGAGGAGGTTCCTCGCACTGTAAATGAGACTCAGTAGCGGAAGGCCCGCGCTCGCACCCTGTATCAAGGAAGATGTAAGTCGAGGTGGGAGCGCCTGGTTCGACTCCAGGCTGGGTCATGATCCGGTGTGAGATGAAATTCTTTTTTCGCGTCCGGTTCCTTCTTTGTAACCATCACTGACCAAATTTAAATGGGCGACAGGTATCTCCCCGTGCTCATCGAGGCTGTTGCCAGTGCTGCGGAGACATCGGATGCTGTGGAGATTCCTTGAGTCTTGCAAAGCGTTCCGCTCTCATGATTCAGAGTTTATACCTCTACTGAGGATGCTACTTACCGTTTACCGCGCAACTCTTTCCCTCGCATTTCCTCCCTGTACTGGCAGGCAGTTTCATCTTCGTCAGGTCTCCAAAATATCCCAAGTTTCGACTAAAATTAACCACCCTTTCGTTACGGTTGCGGACATTGCGATTCCGCGCCATGCCATGCACATGCAATATGCGGCAAGTGCACATCCTTGCACTGCCTGCCCGTAGCGATGCCGAGGAAGTGCTCGCCTCCCGTGGACTCGTTACCAGTCTGCCATGGAATGCAATAAATGTGGTGAGCACTATTGCCATAGGCAGACTGGTACTTCTCGGGATTGGCAATTGAGCGGGGCGGGAGTTTGAAATATTTGAGTGGCGCCGATCACGGCCATCAATTCTCCCTCGCCATTTCGGTTGTAAATCCAGTTGTCGCTTCAACCCATGCACGAGCCTCCAGAAGAAATCTGAGGAGACAAATATCCTGAAATTTGCGCTTCAAGCCTTTCGTAGGTTTGGCATTTTTGAAACCATCCAGATCCAAAGCCAGAATAACAGCCATCAAAAATTCCACACTCCCGCCCCGCTCAATTGCCAATCCCGAGACGTACCAGTCTGCGCTCGCCACATTTATTGCGTTCCGTATCTCAGACTGGTAACGAGTCTATGCCTCCCGCCTCACGTCACAATATGTCCCCAACACTGTGCTACTCGTTACACAGAAACGCTTCTTTGGTGATGATCAAGGAGCCGTTTGATAATTGAATCGCCACTGATCACATATTACTGTATTCCCTGGTTTCCTTCCGACTACCTCCCTACCTATCGCGCGGCGGACGGCATGCGTCCTCGATACTCTCTCCTTCCATTAGGACATCTCCAGCTCCTGAATGGTTGGCCATCCTTGGCTCTCGCACAACAGACCTTCTTCCCACCCGCCGTCCCGCTCGCAGTCCGCTCTCCGACTTTTAATTGCTGGTTGGACACCCAAAGCGGGTCCAACCCCATGAACACCTGGCCCCGGCTGTGGAACGACAATCATGTGCGTCTGCGCTTCTGCTACAATGGCCATTCTAGTCCTCAGCTTCCGCAGATCCTAGGTTGGGCTGGATACATCAAGGTGGATGGCTCGACATGGCAGTGGTTGGGGAAGCCTGGGGGCAGCAATGCGAGCACTTGGATTAGCACGGAGATTACACCCACAAGGACGATCATGACGGTGAAGGCGGGCCCCATGTTGCTGAACGTGACGTTTCTGAGTCCGGTGGAGGTACGTGTCCTCGCCCATGCCTTCCTGCGATACCCTGCTAATATTTCTAGCCCTCCGATTGGACGCGGCAGTCGTTCCCGTTCAGCTACGTGTATGTCGATGGGACTGATCCGGACGGCAAGCTCCACTCGATCCAGCTGTACTCCGATATCACCGCCGGTGCGTCATTAGTCGTCACAACGTTGACTGTGGCTCATGCGGTGCTAGAATGGGTCACTAATAGCTCGCGCACGAGTATTGCCTTCGGTACGGACAAGACGGGCAACACTGCGTATCATCATGTGCGCTCCTCCACGCCCACCTCCGTATTCTCGGACATTGCGGAGGATTCCATCGCCTACTACGCCGTCGCCGCCGTGAGCCCAACTGCACTGGCGCCTCGTCCATTGTCTGATATCGATATCACCGTTACAGGGACAACCAGGATTAATCTCAGTTATCGGAAATGCCCAGACGCTCCGTCCACAGTTTACAAAACTGGTATCTGGCTTCACCCTTACCTCCGACATCGCCGCATCCTTCGGAAACGTCCAGGACAGCAGCGGCAACTTCCCCGTCTTTGCGCATGCCGTTGATTTGGGCGAAACCCAAACGATCTCCAGCGTCGCGTGGGCCGTGGGCGTGACTCGGGATCCAGTCCTCACGTATTCAAATGTCCAACGACATGCGTATTATTGGTCCAAGTACGCGACCATCGGAGATGCGGTAAATTTAGTTCTTGTTATTCTCCCGCAGTCGTTTATTTAGGTTTCCGGCAGATCGATGCATTCGTGGAAGATTTTCCGTCAGCGCGTGCGAGGGCGATCGCCCTTGACCAGAAGATACTTCAAGACGCTGGCGCAGTCTCAAAAGAGTATGCGGACCTCGTATCGCTCGCGACAAGGCAGGCCATAGCGGGTGTGGAGATCACATTGTCCACAACCGAGTCGGGGGGATGGAATTTCTCCGACGTCCAGGCCTTCATGAAGGATGTTGGAAACAGCCAGTGAGTTCACTCTCGCGTTCCTCGCCTGCATATCTCAGGCGACGCAGGCGGGTGAATCCGACAGAGACCATCGCCGCGGCCCTCCCAGCCTTGATATATTTGAACGCTAGCATCAGCGGCCTTCTCCTTGAGCCCTTGCTGCGTTTCCAGAACTCATCGGCGTATACAAATCCATATGCGGCTTCTGATTTGGGTGAGACATCTCAACATCACGTATGCACATGATTTATATTCCGCCCTCAATTGCAGGTGCGTCTTACCCGCTCGCGGGCGGAAATAATGCACAGAACGAAGGCATATATGCGGTCGAAAGTAATCGTTTCCATCTCTCGTTGGATGAAGCAGGGAAACTTAACGAGATTTTCATTCCTCAGATTCTGGAAATATGCTCGTACTCGTACTGGCGCACGCCAGCACTTCGGGCGATGGATCCCTGATCGCAAAATATGCAAGTTCTTTCAAAATCTCTGTGGGAAGACCCTCATTTTATCCGCTGCAGTATAGCTTGCTGAAACACTGGGCCGAATATCTTGTCACCAATGCGTTGGTTCCTGCACAGCAGTATGTCCCTTTCGCGGGTTCGATTTAGAATCACGTATCCGCACTCCCAGGATGCCTGCCGATGCCCGTGACCCCACGCTCGGCCAGAATCACGGAAACTCGACGAATCTGGCAATCAAAGGCATAATCGCGATACAGGCCATGGCTAAGATGAGCCAGATCATGGGTGAAACAGCGGATGCCCAAAGATACGACGTACATGAATCTCCTCCGGCGCGCCACCGAGATTTGATGATATTTTCAGACGACCGCCAAGAGCCTCGCCCAATCTTGGGTCAACCTCGCATCGACTGGGAGCTCACTCCGCTGGACGTATGGCGCCGACTCGTCGTTCGGGCTTATGTACAATCTGCTTTTCGACAAATTGCTGAAACTTGATGTCTTACCGCCTGCTGTACGTCCTGCGTATTATAAACTGACTATGTCTCAGTCAGTCTATTGCAGATATACACCCAAGCGTCGTCCTCCAACCAGGCAATCAAAGGTAAGACTACCGCGATCCTGCCGCCGAATCACGCTCAAGCATATTATAGAGCAACCGTTCGGGTTCCCGCTCAGTAGCGACAGTAGCTCAAATACTCGATCCGGTACGCCCTAACGCTGTGAGCCTCGTTCTTGTCTCACACATGCCGCAAGACTGGACATTATTCAGCGCCGCTGCTGCTCCGGACATAGCGACACGAGACCTACTAATCTCAGCGGTCCGGCAACGGGCGTCGTCCAATGGCACCACCGGCCCATTCTCAACTTTATACAGTGTCACGAATGGGGCGGGCGCGGGCGTGGGCGCTAACATATCAAACGGATTCGCGAGGCAAGTTGGATGCGCTGTTCCCCAACCATCTATTCATCATTTAGGCAGCCCGGCGCAGGGAGCGATGTTCTCTCTACTTGCCTTGAAGTGAGTCGCAATATATATAATATTCGAGTCTGTATGAATCTCACTCTCGCAGCGTGGCGAACAAAACCGTCATTATTCCCTCCCCTGCGGTGGCAAACTCCCCGCCATCGAGTTCAAGCTCAGTTCTTCCAAGCTCGAACAAACATGTAGGACGGATAGTTGGCGGAGTCATAGGAGGGCTTGCAGCGCTTATTCTACTGGGGACCCTGGCAATATTTCTGTGGCGAAGGCGACAGCGCCGGACTGCAGGGGATGCATTGG